CAATTATACAAACAACATGCGGTTTGAACGTGCATATATTCAAGACGATATTCTAGCATGCTGTATGTATATGCACATGTATTCAAAATATGTAAAACGACACCAAATAGTGTGCAGTATTCCTGTTTAATTAAATCTGATTTTGTGTCGACCATTGATATATGCTGATTCAAGTATAAACTCGATAGTTCATAATGTTTAATTGCCGGTATCAAACTTATAATTTTACATTAAAATTTATATGGGTTGATATTTATGATGTTACTCTGAGTGTGTATCCACACTGGGCAAGCTTGAAAAATATGCCTGGCAAGGGTGGGAATCGAACCTACCACCTTTGGAATACTAGTCCAATGCTCTGCCAACTGAGCTATGCGGTCAGATTGGTTCAAGTATGTGATATTTCGGAACTGAGTCTACTTGCTTCGACATCAATGTAATCTAATAATCATGATTTTTTTGTGTGTTGGTGTTGTGTACTCAGTAGGCTGGATCGATATCGCAAATACCGAATACCGATATACCGCCATCAGAATACCGGTAAATACCGGTATTTTTAACGTGTTTTTTTTTTAAGCCAAACTGAAGTGCCGACCGTCAAGGAAAATCAAGTTTTGACAAAATATTAATGTGGCACATACTGTTAGCGGCAATTATTAGTAGGCCGTCGATTGGGCGTCGAAGTGTTGAATCATTGAGAAAAATATTCGTTTTGTATATAAATTCAGATAGTGTTTCAGTAAGCTGCTAATAGTTATAAACATAAAAAACGTTGCATTTTTAAAACTAACACATAAACAAGTTAGCATGTCAGTTAAATAAGATTAAAAACAACAAAAAGTTACCTTCTTATACTGCCCGATAAAAAAACAACTTGAAAAGCCAGAAAAGGTTTTCTCTGCTTCGCAAATGCTCGTACTTCCACTTTCCAAAATCAAAGTTTTCTTTTTTGTCGAAATTGTACTTTAAAAATTTCGCCATTTTTATATTTCCGATTAAGGCGATTTAATAAACAAGACGTCTGGTATTGCTAAACCAAAGCCGCTAGAACTGTAGGAACAAAATCATGCATCTGTGAGTATTAACTTTGCTTTCTAAACGTGATTGTAAGCAAGTTTGACTTGAAATAGCGTTTCATTTCGGTATTAGGCAGCAAAATACCGAAATGTCGGTATATCGGTATTTTTAAATTGTGAATATCGCCAAACCGGTATCTAAACAAATACCGGTATATCGGATATATCCGGTATATCGATCCAGCCTAA